CCCCCCCCCCGCAAGCAAAGTTTAAGGAAACCCCGTTATTGCAAAAACACAAGCTCTGATCTTTTTTTTTCGTCTTAGAGAAAAAGAAAAGAAAAGAATAAATGTGGCAGCAGGCAGCTTGGGTGCCCTAGAAGAGTCTTTGTCACCAAATAAAATCGCACGAGGAAGCTAAAAAATTGTTCTGTGAAAAGTCCACCTTGGTCTCTCTCCTCTTGATATTAAAGTCAGTCATTTGAAGCGTAAGTTACAACGCAGACACCTGGCAACGCCAAATGTTCAATTAATATTAGTACTTATACACCCGGAATTATGTACGTCTGTTGTAGATTCCTAGTCAAATTCCAAGAGCTGGCAAAGAAGATATTAAAAACCGTATTTTGGAGAGAACATCTAAATACACACAAAAGTCAGAGAAGTCAAAGGCCCAGGCTGCCTCCCTCCGCTGGCCCCCGCGAGGCCAATACTCACTTCATCCCAAGAGCCACCCGGTCCAGGAGAGTTGGACCCCCCGAGCCGGTTCAACATTCTGTGCAACTCCCCCGAGGGTGTCACCCGTGGGACTCACCAGAAATTCACTGGCGAACGCCTCTCTGTTAAGTTTCTTGCTCTGGGCCTCACCCAGGAACTTCTGCAGAATTTCCCTCTGGTCCATGCTGCAGGGCAAGGGGGACAATGCGCCGGCGGCTCAGGGGAGGGCATGTCCCACGCGTGTCATGGCAAGACACTGGCGGGGAGCTGCTGCTGCAGCCCCGGCAGAGCACAGAGCACGTCGAAGGCTGTGGTTTACTGACTTCATCACAAGCCTGAGAGGAAATTAGTACGTAACCAGCCTCTGTGGTCACACAACAAAGCCATCACCTCACTCCAGGGCCCTAGCGCCTTCCTTCTCGAGGAAGGAACCTGGTTACAACTCAATTTCTTAACAAACAAGACGCTAACCAGAACCTAGCGTGTGGTCTGCTCAGCCCCGAGGCTGTTCCACTGCATCACCCTTAAGCGAAATTCGCCTTTTTTTGTTGTTGTTCCTAGTGAAAGGGCAGAATCACAGGTCTCCTGGAGAGACATTGCCTCTCCCCATTGCCCCAACGGGCCCTGCTGACACCTGTTTCTTCGGGTCCCAAATGAACTCCGCAGAGTTCTGTTAGGCCCAGAAAGGGAGACAGATGCTGTACGGAGTTAAGAAGCTTTTGAAAAGTCTCTCATCAGTGTGATCACTGGCAAACTCCTGTCTATGAGAGAAGGTGTTGCATTCAGGACTCGGGAGTCTGCTGCAGAGACCTCAGACCCTGCAGCCAGCTGCTTCCGACGGAGCCGGGGCCTCTCCTGGGCTGGGGAAGGGCCGCCCCCATTAAGGCAAGTGCTGTGCATTTCAGGACTTCCAGGCCCCCCAGTGCTTGCTGCGCCTCCCGCGGGCTCTGGATATAAGGCCTGAGAGCCCTGGTCTATTTAGGATCCAGGAGCACAGGATCCCCATGAGGAGAAACTAATCAGGACGTTGGCATGATGTCCCCTGTATGTAACGAGGGAAACGGAAGGAGCAGGAAAAGGGCAGATCACCCCCCTCGCTGCAACAGCTTAACTCTCAGGGCAGAAAGCCTGAGAACTACAGGGTGTCCCCCAGAGATGTATACACACTTTAACAGCTCAGAGCTCCACTGGCGTTTCTTTCTTTTCAGATTTAACCCATTGGGATGCATCATTATTCAAAGTGTGCATGCATTTTGGGGGGACACCCTATATTTCTAGAGGAGGCATTTCTACTCTGCAACTTATCCTTACAAAAGAGGCCATTGTTCCAGGAAGCCACGCTGTGTATGTGTGGTATTTGGCCCGGTCTGACAGGCAGGCTGTTCTAGAAAAAGCTTCCCACACCTCAGCTTGCATAAATTGTCATCTCAATGGGTACAAACCCATCCAAGAGTTTCTCACTCAGCGTGAGAACAACCAAAAATCAGCATAGCCTTTGCTTGAGGACAGAAGTTCAATAAATGTGTTAACAAAATCAATCTGAAATAATCCTGTGCTATTATTTGTCTAGTTATCAGCAGTCTTTTCTGTTTCGAAACACTATTCACACTCCCCTTAGGAAATCCCGATTCTGAGCATTGTAGCTTCATCCACTCTGCTGAGCCTTACAACAGGAAAGGAAAGGCTTAGTGGCAATGAGAATCTCAATGCCAATCCACACGATAAATTAAAATGAACCATAATTCTTCAACAGTATTTGTTGAGAATAGGATAGTGTTTCTCAAATTATCCCTTTTAGCTGCTCCAAATAATGCAGTGTTTAATTTGGCTATTTAAAAACATATAAAATATAGGACAATTTTTAAAAGGCCAAAATTTCAAGTTCACAGTAACTAAAGCCATGTAAAACTATGTACATGTTTAAATGGAGATTAAAGATGTAAAAAAGAATCAATTGTGTGAGTGTTGGGATTAAGAATGCTTTTTAAAATTCTCCTTTTGAAATTATTATACCTTTTTTAATTAGAAAAAAACCCCACAAAAATCCATTCATTTTTTCAGTAAATTTATTGAGTGCCCCCTAAAAGCTGAGCACTACACAAGGGGCTGGGCATATAAAGGTGAGCAGGCCAGAGCATGGTGAGAGACATGCTTAACCCATTAAGAAAGCATCTCAGAAAGCAGAGATGTGGACTTAATCACTGAAAAAAATAAAAACACTCCAAACTAACTCGCTTATTTGCAGAGCAGCAAAGCCTAACCAGAAAAGGAAATGATTTTCTGTATTAGGACAAAAAAGAAATACACGTGTTTCATCATGTGTCCCCTAAGACTGCCTTCACTTCCATCAAAACCAGAACTTTACTAATCAATAAACAAGAAGATGCCTAATTAAATGAAATTTAAACCTATTTTCCCCAGGCCCATATTTCAGAACAATCTCCAACACTCTTCTCTTCTTTGGGAGGGACGAAATGGAGATTGATACATGCCAGAAAAAATTACTTAGGTGCCCTCTATAGACTTCTACCCAGAGCAGGAGGATCTGAAAATAGCAGAACTGCAGCTCTTCTTCAAGCGGACAGCAATTCTGAGGAGTCCCTTCGACTCAAGAAACCAAAAGATATAGAAGCATCTTGAAATAACCAAACCTCAAAAACCCACTTAGCTAAAAGGCCATTTCCTGAGCAGACCACTCAAGCAAGCAAAAACCAAAACGAAGGAGAAAACAAAGAACGTGTTTTATTTTGAACGAATCTAAGCTCCCACTGAATTTTTCACCCTTCCTTCTGCAGGTAGTGGAGGGCAACCGGGCATAATGCTCTTGGATGAAGAGTTCACTCGTTTGTGTCTTGTGGGAAGATAGAGAACGGGGGAGGGAAACAAGTCATGCAACAAAGGTGGCCAGGTACCTAAAATTTTTGAAGAATTTACAGTGAAACATTTTAACCAGTGCAGCACAGGCCCTGAGTGAGCATATCGATTCCATGCAGCCAAGGCCGCGTCAACCCTTCATCAGCACCATCGAGGGCGAGACCTAGTGGAAAGTAAAATTGTGAATAAGCGGCTGAGCAGCGAGAAAGGAACATGCCACTGCTCCCTCGTGTGGCTCTGGTGTTTGTTCAGAAGGAAGATGACAACGAAGAGCAGTGACCATCACACTGTCACCTGTTCCAACGAGAAGGCAGTGTGTGCCAGCTTAAGGGGAAATATCAGTGTCACTGAGGTTGGGAACTAGATGACAAGAAACCTTTAACCAAAGAGAATGTCAGGGGAGATTAGGAGGACAAGATAAACTAGTAAAAGGCTCCTCAGAACACTTCTGTCTCTGTGAGGAAGCCACTTCCACTACCTCCCAGGGTCATGGACTTGGTATAGGCTATGTGTATTATCTGTGAAAGACTCGGTCCTTTGTGAGCATCCTCTTGGTCACCAAGGCCTATTATATGGGTCCTTGCTCCTCAATGTCTTTTAGATTCAACCTGCCTTTTCCATTCCCAGGTTAAGCACCATTGCCCTTTCACATCTGGATTCCTGCAGCCATCAGCTCTTGGCTTCCTACCTATATATTTTCCACCCTAGTGTGTACCGGTAACCAAGGCTGGGTAAACGTTCTGAAAACTCCACTTTAATGCCGGAGAGCCAAAGCACTTACTGATAGTCTATGGCAGGGGCGGGGAATGTCCGGCCTGTGGGCCATATACGGTCCCCACAAAACCATTTGGTCTGGCCCTGACAAGGCCTCACCAAAGAGAAGCAGTTCCAGCCGTCACATTAGGGGTGAGGTAATTAAATGTTTGCCCAAATATAGCAGGCTAGTTTTTAAGTTGATAAGTTTGTATGGCCGGCAAATGATGTTATAAATATTCATCCAAATGGCCCTTGGCAGGAAAAAGGTTCTGTTCCCCACCCCTGGTCTATGGGAACAAGTCCTGATTCCTCAGCTTGCCACCAAGCCCCTCCCCATCAAATGTCCCCACCCAGCCTATCCAACCATATCACCCATTGTCCATTTTGCTGCCACTTCTGCTGCTTCTCCACCTTTCCCCTGAATTTTCACCAAGATGACAATAAAGCCATAAAGCCTAGTTCCTCTTCTATTAAAAAATCTTGTCCCTAATTCCATTTCAACATGACCTTCTCTTGGCCGGAATCCTTTTGGTATAGATCTCTATATTCGGCTGTAGAAGTTTTCGCAGTCTCTTCACATGTTCCTTGTCTCCCAGCAGTTTCTTTAAGAGTTTATTCAAAAGAAAATACACAAAAATGCTCCGTGTAGTTTTAAGTTTATGAAAAGCAGTGTTAGTACCTTCTACGCATTTGTATGGCTCCAGGGCTCAGGGTGGTCCTGAGCAGACCTGAGAGCAGCACTGTGACAGGGCACGCTGTGCCATACGGCTGGACTCCGGCGGGAGGTCCCTGCTGACCTGGTTACTCGCCCCATCAGTTGCTCCGTCTCCTGCCTGGCACTGTGGGCTGTGCGTGCCTCTGGCTAGTTGGGCACCTTCGCTCCGCTAGGAGCAGATGGGAGGGCCGGGAACCTGGCAGGGAGGAGCTCCCTGAATGTCGCTGCTCGAGCAGCAGGGCCATCAGGACGAAAGGAACAGGGCTGTTGATGAGACACAGAGTCCAGCCGGGAAGCTGCCGTGGCCAGGAAGGAAACGACCTCCTTTATTTCCAGGACCCTCCTTTCTTGCCTTATAAAGAGACACAAGAGAGGCTCATGTTTCCCCATCATCCACAGCAGGGATGTCCCCTGCCCAACTTCCAATTGGCTTCTTGTCACTACAGCATTCTGAGACTCTTTCAAGCTTTTCAGTTCACCTGCCGTGAACTTCATAGCTTCCCACGCACCGCTTGGGGACTCGGGGACTCATGCTCTGCCTTTGGTTTCAGAAACACAATCCTCAGGAGGCAAAGGTCAACCAATCACTTGCAATGGAAGCAATTTCCCTTTTTTTAAAAAAATAATAAATAATAATTATATATATATATATATAAATCTATCTTTATTGATTTCAGAGAGAGACAGGGAGAGAGAGAGAGAGAAACATCAATGCTGAGAGTCATTGATGGGCTGCCTCCTGCACGCCCCCTGCTGGGGATCGAGCCTGCAACCCGGGCACGTGCCCTGACCAGGAATCAAACCGCGATCTCCTGGATCCTAGCTTGATGCTCAACCTCTGAGCCATGCTGGCCGGGCTTTCCCTTTATTTTTAAATAGAGATTCAAAACACTTGCTGAGGCTTGGTTGGCATCTTATTCAACATATAATCAAACTTGAAGTCTCGTCTTTCGCTTGCTGTCCATCCAGTCCATCCACTCATTATGCGACGCTTACACGTGGAGGAGAACGGGGAAGCGTGTGCTGCCGAAGTGTTCAACGAAGCATTTTCATTCGAGGATCCTTTATTCTAGCAGGAAGGTAAGTACACAAATATCTACAATTTAAGGCCCTTTGTGATAAGACCATAGATGTGGTACAAACAGAATTTTGAGAAGGCAAAGATCACTTCTTGTTCTGGTTATCTGAATAGGCGCTGCGGAGGAGGTGACCTTCGAGTTGAGTCCTAAAGGTGACTACGGAGCCTGAGAGAAAGCAACACGAAACACAGAGAACAGCGGGAGGAGCATGGCTTAGTGAGTGGTTCCGTCTGGCTGGAGCATTGGTTATGTGGAGGAGACTTAATTGATACGGCTAGAGGGGCAGTTGGGGCCAGATCTCTGGGGGAAATTTGAATGCCAGGCTGGAAAGTCAGGCTTTATGTGATGGGCAGTGGAAAACCACTGAAGGATTTTTTTCAACAACTTTATTGAGGTATTACTGACATACAATAACCCATACATTTCAAAGTGTACGATTTGATAAGCTTTGGCAGCATGTGATACACCCATGAAACCATCACCACAATCAAGATAATGGACATATCTAATCAACTTCAGAAGTTCTGCTGAAAGATTTTAAGAGAATGGCAATCAAAGCGATGCTTTGGGAAGAAGTTTCTTGATTTTTTAAAAAAATAAATGCTCCCTTCTGATAAGGTTTTGAAAGTCTCATGATCTCCTACAGTGGTATGTTTAATTTCAAAACGAGTGATAGCATAGCCAAGAATGACTAAAACCATGGACAAAGGACCCACAGCTTCGGTCCATCGGGTGGCAGACTGTGTACGGGACAGACGGGAAAGGGGCAAGCCTGGACCAGAAGGACGGATGGAAAGCTTAACTAGCAGGCTGCACCAACAGCCCAGGCAGGCGGTGAGAAACTCTTACAGGAAGAATCAGGACGACAAGGAAGGACCGCGTGAGAAAGACCAGTTGGGCCAGTAGGGCTGGAGGAAGGGAGAAGGGAAAACTGACTGAGGTTTTGAGCTAGCTGGGGGGCAGTCAGGGGAAGTATGGGGATGCAAAGCGTATATAGAAATAAAGAATCAGAGTTTGTGGATATGGATTTGGGAAAAATGGAAGTAAGTCAGACTCACAGATCACCCACATCGAGGTGAAAGGCAGAACCATAGGTGGTCGGCTTGCCTTTGTGAGAAACAGAGGTACTGGAGAGAAAAAAAGTCAAGCTGGAGCTTTAAGCAGTGCTCCTGATACTCCAGGCACCGGGCTAGATCATTTACAAAGTGTCCTGCTTCATTCGCCCTCACTCGGATCCTATGAGTCAGTTACCAAATCATCTCTATTTTAAGAGGAGGAAACTAAGGCACAGAGGAACTGGGTTACTTACCCAATGCCCCATGGTCAGCCTGTGGCGAAACTACCTTGTTAACTCAGGCGGTCTGAATGCATCTTTCATCTCCAGGCTGTAGCGTCTTCTCCCTGCAGCCCACTCGCTTGTTTTCCTAGGATACGGGCCTCGCCACGAACACGACAGCCAGGCCGGGCGGCTGTACCCACCTGCCCCGTGTGATCCCCAGGCCACCATGTCCGCGACGGGATCGCGCTCGGCTTGGCGCTAGGTTCACACGCCGATGTCTCATGGGCGACACAGGACAGAACAGGGGGCGGCGTGGTTAAGAAGGAAAAGAAACGAGAGAGAGGAGGCTGCTGGACTCTGAGCTGCAGCGTTCCACTGAATTCTTCCAGCTTTATTGAGATATAATTGACATTTAACGTTGTGCAGATTTAAGGTGTACAATGTAATGATTTGACATATATATAGATTACGAAATGATCACAATAAAGTTGGTTAACACATCCATCACCTCGCAGTTACAATTTTTTTGTGAGAACTTTAAAAATGTACTCTCTTGAGAGTCATACAGTCACCATGCTGTCCATTAGATCCCAGAACTTTTTCATCTCGTATCTGGGAAGTTTGTACCTTTTGACACCCCCCCCATTTCCCCCACTCCCCCATTGCTGCCCCTGGCAACCACCAGTTTGTTCTGTTTCTGTATCATTTCTTTGAGGTTGCACTTGCTGAGAACTAGTTCAAATGCATAGACAGAAGAATTTTATTTCATGAACAGAAGAGCATTAGTTAAGGTGAAAACAGCGACTTCGCCTAAGAGATCAAACACCACAAAACTTGACATGTTGAGTTTAGAGTAACGTGAGGGACAAAGGAGTACATCACATAGCTTCAATTCGTAGCAAAAAAGCTAATTTCTACTAAAGAGAAACATGAGATCTCATTTCTGGCTTACTAACCTATTGTGATTTTTTCCAAGAATAGTGGAAATAGCCTGACTTGAAAAAGTCAGAAAGTGTTAGCAGGACTGCGTCTTTATTTCCATGCGTTCTGGGGAGCCAGGTAGCTGGCTGGCTGAAGGGAGGGGATGTGGTTAGCTCTGTAAACTTTAGCCAAAGACATTAACACCTCTTCGAAAATAGATGTAGCAATGTTTTCCTTCCTGATGTGCAGGTAGTTAATCTGATTTCAGGGCTTTTGGATGGAGGAGTGTCTATGTACTTGATGACTGCCTGCTAATCTATGAGATTATTAAGGACTATTATGAGATACACAGACTGTAGAAACCATATGCTTTGCTTCCAATGATCTCCAATCACTTTTGGTAGGGCCAGGGGAATGTATATCCTCTCTGGACAATTCAGGAGTCACAGGACTCTCTAATTTGCCCGAAGTCCTGGAGAAAGTGTAGACTATGTACGAACTAACAAACACTCTCAGACTAAATTCTGAAAAAAAGAGTTATCTTATCTTAAAATTGTGTTTGCCAGGAATGATCAGGATTGCAACAGGGTTTAAGTTACTCCAGGAGAAATGTTCACTTAGCTTTACAGCAGGGGTCTGCAAAACTGAAATGGCCGGAGAGTAAATATTTTAAGCTTTAAGGGGCCATAACTACTCAACTCTGCCACAGCAGTGCTAAAAGAGTCATAGATAATATGTAAACAAGTGAGTGTAGCTGCATTCCAATAAAACTTTATTTACAGAAAAAGCAGCAGGCTGGTGGGCCTGTGGGCTACAATTTGCCAACCCCTGCTCTAAAGTGATGATTCTCAAACTCTACCTGTACAGGATCAGAATCTCTAGGGATGGGACCTGGAAATTAGCAATTTATAAGGTCCACAAGTGGCATGAGACCTCACTCTGAAAATCACTGTGGCGCGCAGCTAGCTTCATCTGAGGTGAGATGGCCCTGCTGCCCTAGATGTGGGCCAGCACTTCCTGTACTCTGTGGCAGTAAAAATGCAGCAACTGTTTTATCTTTCTCTGACCTTTCTGATAGAAGGACAGATGAGCAAACTACTATTTTTCACTGCCAAAAATGCACAAAATAATTCTGCTCAGGCAAAATTAACATGCAATTTAGGTTATGAATTTAAAAGAAAATCTGCAACTTAAAGTAACAAGATTTCCCATCCAAAAATCTCTCTGAAATCTTTTGACTGCAAAATTAGTAGCTAAGATTCTTACCAAAGACAAGAGCTAAATCTGAAGAAATAGTTTACTGTGTGCCCCCTTCTCCCCAAAATAACTCCAGCAGAGGCCTGCCCTGGGTTGCCGGGAATCCCACTGTTAAGGAGGCATTGCTTTGTGTCTGGAGGCCTTTGCTTCAACAGAACTTCATTAAAACTCACATCAAAACAGAAGGTATAAAATCTCTGTGATCCTCTGGGAGCTGCTCCCAACTTTATTAATAAAAGATAAATTATTCGGCTAAGTCCGGTTCTGTCCAAAAGAAAGTGGTTTTTGATTTGGTTGTTTCTGTTTTCATTGCCAGCAATCAATCACCTGATTAGTCAAAGAAGACTGGGAAACAGCTTCACCTCTTCTTCAGCTCTACAGATTTTCCTAGGAAAGACAAGGAATATTAAAACTCACATCGAAACAGAAGGTTTAAAATCTCTGTGGTCCTCTGGGAGCTGCTCCCAACTTTTGGAATATCCAGAAGTCAAAGGGCTGGTCATCGGGAACTTCCTAAGGAAAGCAGGGTGATCTGCAGGTACCCCTAGGAATGCAGCTCTCCCTGGGGCTTCTGCGGATCCTGGCAATGAAGGGGGGGCTCTCTGAGAGCAGCTGCTCTAATAATGTGTAAGACATAGGCTTAGAACGCCTCCTATAGTTATCGCCACAGCAAGCAACACTCACTGTGTTTTGTTCGATAACAAACAGTAGGATGGTTCTGAACTTCCTCAAAACACACCCGAAGATGTTAGGCAAAGAAGACCCAGAAATTTACCAGGTAACAGAGTGAAGCCAGGCTGAGACGAGAATTCAACCACCGATAGACTTTACAAATGTGTAGGCAGTGGGAATTCGCTCTATATAGTTAGCAGTCAATATTTTAGGCAGAGAAACTCTGGAGTCCAACATGTACAGGCTGAGCTGAATGCTCCCCTTCTCCCCGGCAAAAACAATCCTGGCATTTTCAGCAAAGCAGGGAGGCCTTTTTCCTGCTTGGTTTCCAACTTATCAAAGAATCAAAAATTGGAGCCCCACGTACTGGTAGCAAATGCCTCGTCCCAACATACTTACCCAACCTCCCTGGCCCTGGATGAACTCCCGGATGGCACCGTTCCCGTTGATCATGTTTGTCAGGGGAGCCGCCATCTGTCTTGCCACCTCAGGGGCCATGCGCATCACATGTACAAAGAGTTTCACCGACACTGCCAAAAAGGCTCTCTCATAAGCTAAGCTGGAATCCTGGGCACACCAGGCCTTGCTGAGGGATTTTACTGTGTCCTGAAGGACAGCTCCTGCCTGGGGAGGGACACAGGGTATATCAGTGGAATATCACTAAAAAGTACAGGAGGCTACAGGTACACTATACAGTTAATGTTTCCCAGAGAGTGGTCAGTGTCCACTGGTGGCATCTAAGGCAATATTAGGGAGTAAATGGATAGGCTTTTCTCATTTTAATATTTTATTTATTACAATGACTATTAGAAAAGCCAGAAGTAGCCCATCAAACCCATGAATTTCAGATAGTATTGCCTAGAATGAACCAAATGATCAAAAGAGAAACAAAATGATTTGAAAGAAAATTATTAAGTACATGATAGTACAGCTGGGAAAACTGCAAAGGTACTGCTTGAATGACTGAAGTCTGGGAAATTCTAAAGTAAAATAAAAAATAGATTAGTGTTTCCTTTGTCCTTCCCAAAAAAATTTGGTCCAAAAGCCATCAAGTAGGACCAAGCAAGATCTATTTCAGTGTAGTCTAGGGGGCCCATGGCAGTCAGAACAGGATGTCAGAGCCCACACAAGCTGAGAAGGGCATTCATGCAAGGGTATCTAGATCCTGATATTCAAATATCGTTTTCTATTCAAACGAACCAGAGCTCCCTGGAGAATGGCTCATCTCCGGATAGGGATTGGAAAAATACAGATTTTCTGTTAGAAATTAAGGGAGTAGAGAATGACAGGGGCATGCCAAAAAGACACAGTCCAGATTGAAAGCTTTCCATCTCAGTACCACTTAGGTTTTGCTTAACTCCTAAAGAATTGGCAATCAGAGAATTCCTGCTATATCTTCTCGGATTAATATAAGCCCCCAAATCTTTCACAGAACATTCTGGTCACACTCCTATAGGAATAGTAGGAAAAGGCTGTCTGAAATAGGAAAAAAAGCAGTGACTAGAAAGGAGCAGAAACTTAACCTGTCCCTGAATAGTTTCTTCAATGACATTTCTGGCAGAAGCTTCCAGTTCTTCGTTGAACTCGTCCCCCAAAGTCCGAAGGCGAGCAGCAATGGTGGCCACATCAAAAGGGTGAGCCTCTCCTAAAACAGAGGGACACAGTCACACTTGTCACAGTGTCCGAAGGGAGGCAAGTCCCAGGAATCTAAGGAAGCCACGCATTGGAGAAAGTTCTCCAGACGTTCAGACTTTTAAACAATTTCAGCATCATTTCCTCCCAAGAACATCTTCAATGTCAACACGGAATTAATTAATTTCCCCTTCCATAAAGATTCAGATTCAGGTACTGCTGAAAGCTTAGAGTTTGCTAGAGTTTGCCTGTTGAAATTTTCTTTTTTTTAGAGAAAGGAAGGAAAGGGAGAGAGAGAGAGAGTCATTGATCGGCTGCCTCCTGCATGTCCCCTACTGGGGATCGAGCCTGGTTCATAGGTCGACACTCAACCACTGAGCCACAGCGGCCAGACTGCCTGTTAAAACTTAAATGGAAATAAGAAAGCAAACTCCGACGCTCCTGTTGACCTGCCGCCACCACTGCAGGCCAGGAGCCTTACCTGAATCCGCTTCAACTTCACAGCAGAGGTTCTGGTTGGCGGCCTGCAGAGGCGCGCCTAGGAAGTCTGTCAGTAGAAAGTTCATGATGCATTCTGTTTGCTCCTCAAAAGTTTTGGGAGTCTTCATCTTATACACCTGCTGCCACCTTTTGCTTTTCCACCAAACAAGCAATTTTAGCTCAGCAGGAAATCAGAAACACTGGTGCACCAGCAGATGTGTTTACCTCTTAGAAATTTCCCTCATGAGACAGAAGCCCAGGTCCGACAGAGTCCTAAACTGTGCAGCTAAGATAACTGGTGCTGAGCTGAAGAGCTTAGCACTCAGAAATGGAAGATCTGAAAACTTTCAGTTCCTTTTCTCAGAACTCTTCTCCAGTCAGTATCTAAGGTTAATGAATAACTCTATAGTTAGGCTGCCAGTTTAGAACTGAATTATGGCTGGGGAGGAGCCTATTGGGTAAGTTCATTAAGAAATACTTCCTTTACCAGCCTGTGTGGTGTAACTTAAAGAAGGCTGTAAAGTTTAATAAGAGACAGGCATTCAACTCCTGATGATTGCAATTACTTGCCATTACCATACAGTGGTTACTTGCTGAGTAGTTATGTGTAAGGAACTAGGTGCTTGGCACTACAAATAACACAGAAAAAATGACATAGACACAGTCCCCATCCTCATGGAGCTAAAGTGTACTTTAGCATGAGTGACAGACATTAAATAACTAATCACATAATTGCTGTGCTTGTTGAGATACAGTGAGTGATTAGTGTGTAAAAGGGAAACAAACCTAGGGGGTTAGGAAGGCTTCCTTGAAATAGTAACATCTGAGATGAGCTCTGAAGGACAAGCAGGGATTCATTAAGCAAAGAGGAAAAATAAGACCATTCCAGGCAGAGAGAATAGGGTATGTAAAAGCTGAGGAAGTTAAAAACAAACAGACAAAAAACCACGCACCTGGAAATATGAGGAATTGTAAATAGAGGTAATGCAAAGTATTTCACAGGGATTAAATAAGACAATGTTCTGTGGAATGACCCAGCAGTGTCAGAGGTAGTAAACATTAAATGTCTTCCTTTCAGCCCCAGGCCTAATGACCAGGATGAAAGGGATCTGGGATTTACTCTCTAACAGGATTAATTAGGATTTTCCTAAAAGGGTCAGACTCCACCACTGTTTTACAAGATCTCAGCATTGGACACTTATCCACAGTGGCTTCCTTCCTTCTTAATGATTTTGGGTTTGGGTCCCAGAAGCACCACACCAACCTATCAGCCCTCCCAGGGTATTCTGACCTGGTGGACTAATAAGAGATTCAAGCATAAGTAGTGAGTCGGTGGCTCAGAATAGAATTTCTATCTTGCAAAATAATTAGAGCCAAGCTTCTATTTTCTATTTTATTCTATAAAAACAGATGATTATAAACTGCTTTGGACTAGGAACAGGAATTAGGTAGCTAAAGAGCCATTTTCATTCATCATTATCAATCATCAGGGTTGAAATGTTGGTTCTACTAACAGGCTTCAGACCTCTACGGTCAGAAGGTCCCTCACAGATAATGTGAGATCTTGTTCCCAGTATATGTCATCAGTTTGGCTCAAATAAACTTATTAAAAAAAAAAAAAAAAAGTCCCTCAGAGATAATTCTAGGCCAGCCTCCTTTCACACTGCAGTTCTGCTGAGACCCCAGGATTGAAAAGCATTAGAGCTGCCACAGGAAGAGACACATGGAGTGTGAGACCCCTCAGGGCCCAACCACACACCAGAGCACAAGGCCACGGAACCCCTCACTCTCATCTTGTTCCCTGCACACCATCTCTATGCTGTAAATGTTAATTATTAACTATGCTGTACCCACCCATGTAAAAGAGCATGTGCAGGCTTCTAGAACTGTTCTGGTCCAGTGAAGCAACTCCCTTCAATGCCAATAATCTCTGGAGAAGGAGGAGACAACTTTGAAGAAAATAAATGTGCCTGACTAGCAGCTTGGCAAAGGTCATCAGGCAGGAGCAGGAGTGAGAGCCTGTGGTCTGCCCCACTGGATTCCCCCATCCCATCCCATCCCATCCCTC